AGCAAAAGGGCTGTCGGGAGCACAGTTTACAGCGTATGCACTCACCGTGATGTCTATGTTGTATGGGTTCCAGTGTCCTCCAGTTGATAGACAACATCCCTTGTCACTGTCAGTCTCTGTGCTGATGGGATAGTTGTGGACATGCCAGTTGTGATTCACCGTAGAAGGTGCAGAAAGTTGTCCGTAGGATAGGTCCAAGAATACGGAGACATCAGAATATGGGTCACTACTGAGTTGGGTGAACAGGACCGTCCCCACAACCAGACCACGAAAGGCAGCCTTGGCGACAGTCACTTCGCCTGGGTAGCTGATGCTTGCACAGGCAAATCTGGTTGAGTTGGGCATGTGTATCACAACAGAGCGACCCACAATGCTATTCCGCCCAAACAGGGGCAGGTTCCAGTCCATGAAAGTGGCTTGAAAGTTATTCGTATTCTCCAGAGACCCATGCCTGGCACTCAGATCTCCGACCTCAAAGAGATCATGAGTGGAGCCTCTCGGTGGCGGATACGCTGGTGCCTGAGTATTCACATTAAACGGGTTCCAGTGACCCCCAAGGTTATTGTTATTGCAGCTGCTATCTGACGGAGATCTCATTTGGGGAAGAGGAAACTGATGAACGTGGTACGGCCCAACTCTTCTGTCCAGGTTTGTCAGGTTAACAGTGATGGTAGTGAGATCAAACGGAGATGGTTGATGAAAGGAGAAGTAGCCTTTAATCCCTTGCATGTTCACAACAGCATTAACTACCTTCATTGCGACGCTTCGGATCTCTGCACACATGTAGCTTGAGGTCAAGTCGAGAACGGCGAAGCAGACATTAGAATTGAGATTAGATATTTCCAATCGAGATTGAACAGGTTCTAGAGGTGATCCCACATTCAAAACGCCCAGCTTTGTAAGACTCTTGAGATCCAGATTACCGAGAAGTGCATTGCAGCTGGTGGCAGACACTAAAATTGTGACATTTGAAAAAATCCTGGTCTGATCGACATTTCTTAGATCTGAGAGAACCCTTGCTCCTGCTTCTCCCATCACTTGCCGGATGTAGACGTTTCCAGCCACGGGACTGAAAAACCGTGCCACCCATGTTCTTACCTGGGACTCCGAAGTAAGTCCGGCACAAATCCTTGCACCATTACATGTGTCCACCAGCACCGAGAGGGCATCCAGACTAATGTGCTGTTCAAACAGAGTAGACACATTCACAGCAGCCTGAGGCTGATCTACAGAAAACGTGAACACACTAGGCACATTTCCATTGCAGATTTGCGCAAAACTTTGGCGATATTTTCTGAATGTCGATAAAAAAGTATTGCGAAATGACGGCGTTTCCATTAACCAATGTTATGCGGCTAAAACGTAACCTTTTGCCTCTCGCGATAAGTCATGGCAACGGATTTTGGTGGGATTTTGGCTATATTTATTCAAAGGAGGCTTATGCATGTATCTTTACAGAAGCAGCAAAGAGAGCGGCTTCAGAAACGTGCGTGGTTGTGGCTGGAATAAACCATAGACTGTATAAAAACATTAACACAAG